CCCACACCCACACCCACACCCACCCACACCCCACACCCCACACCCAACCACACCCACACCCACACACCCACACCCATAACGTAATATTCCATCAATGTGTAAAAAATTACTAACTGATCCGTCCAATTTATCAATATATAGAATCAATAATACTGATTGAATACGATCGTCTTTCTCATCAATGCAGTATCTTTTTTTTTTGTTATGCTTTTCTTTTTGCAAATTCATGTAATATGCACTATTCACTTCTATTGTTCATATATAATGAATCATTTTTTATCAGTATTAGAAAAATAATGTAATATTAATTTTATAGATGTTAAAATACTTCAACAAACATTATGTGTATCAATATATATATATATATATCACTTGGCATTAATAGTATGACTTATATTACTATTCATTAAATATTCTCCTGTTGCTATATCAGCAAGATTCCTTAAAAATAAACAAAAAAGAAGTAGCCATTAAAATTGACCAAGAAAATTTTCTCTCTCCTTTCTACTTTTGGATCTGTTACGGTAACGAAAAGGTGTTCAAAAAATTGTTTGACAGGTGTTATTAAATGATAATAACTTGATGAAGCAACAAGAGCAATTTCTCTTAAGATAGTTATACCACTATAACGTCTTGTTTCATGTTGTTGATCATGTGATATACATTCAATTGCTTTAGGAACATCATGTGAAAATTGATCAATACTCATTCGATCATAGCCTTAAATTTTATTTTGTTATAATAAATAAATTTTTTATTACTTTAACAAGGATACATGTTAGCTTGATTACTAATTCACATAAATCAGCATCAATTGACATTTGTTTATAACCGCGTAATGTTGGTTCTAATTTACTTCTTAATTCAGTATAGAAGTTTTGTCCAACACAAATAAGACAAACTAAATATATGTACATATATACTAGATAGATTACATAAGCAATGAAGATAGATAAAGAAAAAGAAATTATTGAAACATACGAATAACAAGAAGAGCTGCGCGGTTTTCGTTGACATTATTTAGATCACTAATTTTCTTTCAAACTAAATCTTGTAATTGTTCAGCAGTACTTGTAATTACATCAGGCGAAGCCTATACAAACAATAAAAAGAATTAGGTATTTGTATCTATTTAATGTTAGTTTCTGTTTTTCAATGACACCATCAATCAATTTTATATTAATTAATTTAAATATCGATATACCCATATATATGTATATATATATGTATGATATTGAGAGTGTTTTTGTATGGGTGTAGATGTGACAAGAAGGTCTTTTTTAACAGCTTCTTAATGATAATCAACATTTTCCAGCAAAAGATGGTTTTACAGAAAACATTTATCTTCTATGATCTCGAAAATGAAAACATATCAATTTTGTTCAATTTTTTATGCTCGTTCCAATGGTACTATTTGCAATTAAAAAATTAATGAATGAATAGAACGAAATATATTCGAGAACTTTTTTGCGAGGGATATACTATTAATATTTTATATTATTGTTATTATAATCATCTCAGATTATTCTTTTTAAAGTCGACAACATAAAAACAAAGCCGGTAATCACTAAGTTTTGTATGAAATTTCTTGTTTATATCATTTATAAGTAGATAAAATCTAACACATCTCACTATATAATTTATAGATCTCATTTACATCAGCATATTGAGCAAGAACACGTTCGTAAAGCTGGTCTATTGGTCGGAGACGCGTATCTTCGTTTGGACTCTGCAAATCATCCATAAACTGCTCTAATAAAGCCAGCAGTTGAGTATCTACCATCCCATGTCATCTTTTTTTTATGAAAACCGACGGTAACCGGCAATTTTGAAAAAAACCACCGGTTACCGCCGGTTTTAATCAAAACCGCCAGTTAACCACGATTAACCTACGGTTGAAATTCAAACCAACGATTAACTGCAGTTAACCAACGGTTGAAATTCAAATCGGCGGTTAACTGTGGTTAAGAAACAACTTTATTAGGTCAGTTTTGGTAACTGTAATTTTCAAAAAAATTAATTCTAAACATGTTCACAATATTGACTGCATATTATTTGAGGGGAAAAGATTTCACTTGAATTGTTCTTTTAATATTTGCATCACTTTTAAAATGAAAAAAAATATAAGTATTGCTTTCATAACATAGAGATAAAAACAATTTTTTTATCTATTAGCTAAGTTATGTATGTATTAGACAGCATTCTAACAAATGTCGATTTTTATTTCTTTACTTTTCTTGTTCTTCTTTCTCGAGTGTGTATTATGTCCGGCCGTCTTTCTTTTCGTCTAAAGTAAAAGAAATGTACTTATTATGCGTGCGGGACGGTGTAACAATAGACCTATACATTCCATTTTTGTTTATTTGCGTATATGTATATATATATATACGTATCACAGTAGATTGAATTTATTTTATTATCTTTCGATTTCTTTTTTCATATATATGCATAAGAAACAATTTTATTCTCGACGTGTAGTTAATCTACGTCAAAGGCGTTTAAAAAAATTAGAAAAACAAGAAATTTATTTAAACTCTTCAAGTGAAAGTGACAGTGAAGATTATAATGTTAATCAACATATACATAATATAAATTCCATGACTTCCAATGATCTTTCAGCACCAGATGATGATTTAAATACATATGAAAATTATCATGATGATGAACATGATAACACCAACAAATTAAATGATTTTCAAGATACTATTTTTGATCATTCACCACCACTATATGATGGCTGTCGATTTTCCACAATTAAATCAGTAAAAATGCTAATAAATTTTTTTTCTCGAATTAATTTAGATAAAAAAAATACTATTGATCTAATGAAATTGATAAAACTTATATTACCAGTTAAAAATGCATTACCTACATCATGGAAATCTATAATGAAATTATTTAGAAAAGTCAATTGTTCATCGACAACTTTTTTTTGTTCAAAATGCTTTAATCAATGTGAAAAAACAAGATTTAACACCAAAATTTGTGTGAACGATAATTGTTATTTATCAAAAAGAACGTTAAAAACAAACGAGATCGTGGAAATAGTAAATCTTGATATTCGTAGTCAAATGAAGTCTATTATTACTCGGAATATAAATTTATTAACCCAAAGCTATGATTTATTTCCACCATCTGATGTAACCTCTGCTTCTCTTTATAGAACAACAATATCAAATACAAAATGTAACACCATTACAATTATTATTCACACAGATGGTGCTCCCTTA